AGCAACCAGCATTGATGAGATTAGCGAAGTGATCAGGCTCCACTGACCTTCGATTCTTCGTGCTCAACAGGATGCTTCACCTCCTGCAATTCAAAAGCCGACGTCAGCACTGGGAGAAGCAGAATGAAAGAACCAGCATGCTAGAGCTGCCAGAACTCGAATGGTCAGTTAACCATGTTATCAAACAGACAGCCTAACTTCAATCATCAGGCTGCATAGGACTGACAGTGCTCAGTCCCTCGGAAGCCGTACCCCTCTCCACGATTCTCCAAAGGGACATGCACCGAGTCCTCAAGATCCACCTCGTCCTTGCTTATCAAGACCTTGCAACGCTTTGGACGGCGGACCAACAGATGTTGCATGCATGAGGGGGAATTTTCGGCATACTGCAGACAAGCTAAGATCAGCACAGTTGATTGGAAGGAGTCCTGCAGCGATCTGACAAGCAACATACTTTTCGTCTTGATGGTACCCCTTTCCATACGGATGAGCTGTCTTGGGCCAATTTGCACAAGAGGCTGCTTATTCTAGGAAGAGCAGCTCAAAGACAAGAGATAGAATTCATTGTAAGCAGTACTGACTAATGTCAACATGTGCTGCAGCACTGGGTCACGCACTCTGTCTACTGAAGGCCTTCTCCGATTTTTTGAACTGAAGAAGGTGCTTTCCTAGACAAACCGCGTGGGTCCCGCGATGACGGCGGTGTGGCCTGCGGCGCATCTGGGCGTGGGGCCCAGAGGTTTGCCACCTTTGCATGGATAGGCAAACAGGGGCATATAGAGAAGTAGCAAGTGGCCGGACGCAGAGCGGGACTGAAGCAGGGCCGAAAAACACAACGCACGAAAGCAACGGACATCTTTGAAACCCACAGAAACCTACCATATCTACCCAAGGACCAAGGCAACACCTGCTCTACCCTGCTGCATCGGTGCACCCCTTCGGTGAGGCTTTCCAGCAAGGACCGACGCTGCTGGCTCGAACGTTCGTTTTTTTCCGCCTCAGATTCGGTGCGCAATGTCAGGTTGCAGGATCAAACCTAGCCAAAGCCACTAAACCCCGAATGCATCCAGATGTATCCGAAATGCGCATAGGTGCTTAGATGAAAAGTATGAGCTCCGCGCCTGGCCATCGCGGCTTCGCTCTACGTTCCGCGGAGGAGCCCGGGCGTCCCCAGGCCCTGCACAATTTCCAAATGCATGATTGGAAGTACTCCATTGCAATTAACCATCAAATTTTGGTGCGAAGGTTAACCAAAAGGTGTGTACTCAGCGGTTGGATGTTTATTCGTCTTTTCCAGTGCGGGGCCTAAAAAAGAGACTTTGCTTGCTGATTTTGAATGAAAGAGAAAAAGCAGCGTGTGTGTCACCACAGAATACACAAAGAAAAGCAGCCAAAAGCAACACTTGGAAACTTGTAGGTCGATACTAGCTTAAACTTTGCATGATCTTGCAGGGGCAGAACCTGTAAACTATGAACACCTGAGATCCACGTTGGACCAGTGGTGCTAGGCATGCTCCGCCGACCTGCATTGTATCCACGTCAAGGCCGAGTTTGAGCGCCGGCCATGGTGGAGGGCTCAGGTGTCCACAAACAAGCTGTGGATGTCAGGAGCATCGGCAAAGGGAGTCTTCAGGCCCTCTTTGTATCTTGTCGAGACTGCCACGTCTTCAGTCATCAAAGCTGGCCGCGACCGGCTCAACCAGCTTCAACACCGCGCGACAGGTACTGGCTTCTTCCTCTGTGTTCGCATCGCCATGGTGAATAATCACCGCGGTAGTCACCCACTCCTGGTTGCATGTTGCTCACCACCATGTCCTGAACGGCAGCCACGGCCGCGGCATGGATAACGCGAAGCGACTAGGAGCAGGGAGAAAGCATTTCATGATCCAAAGACCTGACAGGAAGGTTCCAGTGCTCGCACCAAAATGCGTGTAGCCCGTTTGGCAGTTTGTTCCAAACACACACGCCTTGCAATCCGCAGGCTGCTGCATGTGTGCAATCAATACCTCAAGTCTGAGCTTTGCGAGCAGGAAAGGATTGCTACCAATCCTTCACACAATGACATCAGTTACGCAGTTTCCCTAAGCCTGTTCAAGCTCACTACGAGGGCCCTCTTAGTATTCCTACCAATCCTTGGCTGCGGATGCCGCTTGCCTTGTAATTAGGTTGCAATCATTCTGCCTGTGAGCTGTAACATACCACAGCCATGGACCATGTAGACCTGGGAAGGACACCATGCACTTCCTCCCCGAGAACACGAACGCATACGTACACAAAAAATGATACCACAACCTTGGCCCGGTTGGCACCTGCCGGCCGAGATGACCGTCGTCGCTGCATATAGCCACCGCTAGCGCTTCTGGCAGACATGCTTGCAGCCCACACTCTTGACTTTCGATTGCTGGGGTGTCCACAGCTAGAAAAACTATCGGTGCTCCGTGCATGTTCTATGTGACGCAGGTCTTCTGAAGCTGGATAAAAATCCCGTCAACTGCTAAAGCAAGTCAAATGCACTTGGACGTGTCGTGGCCGTGCCCACCTGCTCTCGTCTCCAAACAAGAATCGATCTTCGGCAGCCTAGCGTGGAGGACATGATTGGCAGCCTTGGCCCACCCCCCGTTCTCGCGGCGCAAAGCCCGGAACAGGAAACAGAAGGTTTGCTCGATATGATGTTCTGCCCTCGCGACTCCTCATCAGGACTGCTTTCGTCGGTCGACCAGGCGTGTGCTACCTTGGACAACATCAGCTGTACAAACCAGGACGAGATACTGCTCCCGCTGTAAGGTTGTAGCCATGGCTGGGTTCGGCGGCATCAGCGACGGCGTGCTGCTCTCACTGCGAGGACTTTGGCCACGACCCAGAACCCTGCAGCAGCAGTCTGGTCTTTGAGAGGCCCTGTTGATTGCCAAATCAACAAAGGCCCCAAGAAGACTTCAACACGAGAGAAACTGCTAAAACCAGCAATTGTTGGCCCACAGCCTGTGAGCTGCAGCTCCTTTGCCCCGACCTTCCAGAAGCGGGTGCTGCTTAAGTATGGGCTTTGAATGCTTGACAATTGGGTGCTGAAGCCCAAGGTCTGGGAAGTCTAGACGAGGCAGGGCCGAGCAAAGGGCGCGACCTGATTCGTGGTGGTACGACCAACCGCCAGAAACATACCTCATAATTCAAGCAACCTGGCGAAGGGCCGTCTGGAAAAACTCATCTGGGCAAAATCTTACACAAAACACACAGCAATACAACATTCAGAAAATCACACAGCTACAGTATCGGGCTTAAGTGATGACGACAAAACCGCTTCCATCTTGGCCCACCTTCAGAGGCACTGCCCTTACCTCCACTGTCGGTGCCTTGGCTGAGAGACCAGGGTCTGTTTTGCAGAGCTTCCCATCCAAAGCTTGCATCGTACGCGTCAGCTACATGAAACATCTTTTAGCAAGCCTGCAATCTGAACAAGCATGAATGCTAAGCAGTCTGAGCTTGCAACCACTGCTGGCACCTGTCAAGCTTGCAGCGGTTGATCCGGCAGCAGCACAGTTCTCTTCAAGAACCGACAACTGGAAAGCTATATGATGGAATTGCGACTTGCATCAGAGACGCGATTGGTGCAATATTTGTGGGGCCAGTAACGCAATATTAGCCAAAATCGGCAACATCAATGCATGTCAAGCTGTGTACTGCAATGTTTCGGATACGTTTGTATGATGGACATGAAACTGCAAGAGTGCTCGCATACCCTTTGGACTGCAGGGCAAAGTCTTACGCAGGGGTTATGGTTGCATGGAAGTTTGTGTAGGGATATCAGGATATCACGGAGTCCGCAGAGGTAACTGGACAGCAAAGGTGTCCTGCTTTCGCAGGAGAGACACAGTCTGCGTAGTGCGCACTGGCCTTCTATGAAAGTATAAGCACTTGCAAATTGACACGCAAAAATGCACGACTTCACCGCTTCACCTTAAGCTACCACTTTGCTATTCCCATCTCTTGCCCTGAGCCACCACGAGTGCGCGCTTGGCCCGGATCTGGTCGCTCCGCTCCTGTCGAAGAGAACAGTTACTGTTGTGCTCACGCTTCGCAGCATGGACCTGCAGAAAGGCCATGCACAGGCATAGGCCGACCTGGCATCACAGTTCTTCTTGCAGTGAAGCCAGCGAAGCGTCAATCATCAGGAACGACCTCGGAAGAGCTTGCACTAGACAAAGAACTACTCTCAACTCTTTTAAATCCAGACCCGCGGGAGCAAGCGCCCATTCCCCTACGACCTAACAAGCAAACTTATCTGGTCCTAAATCTCTACTCAATCTAACACTGACAAGCATGCAATCTCTGCGGGATTAGCACATACACCCTGGAATGATTGTTGCACTCCGGCGGCCTGCTTTCCATGACTTTCATCAAACCATGCCCTTGCAAAATCTTGTGGCCTTAACCAGCCTAAGGGAAGGTGAAACATGAGAAGTGACAAGGTAGACATGTCTTGCACTGATTGGATCTCTGAGGCGCAGGCTGGCACGAGCAAACTTGGGCAAGGAGCATCACACCATATCATAACAGGTCTTTCTTGACTTGTTGAAAAGTGTCTTGCAGCTGTAGAAGCCTAAGTTTTCATTCAAAAACTCTCTGGTACCTCTACAGCTCTGCGTCAGGCATGAGTTGACATGCGGCATCAACGCGGAAAAATAATGATTTTGACTGGTTGCCACATCTTTGCCAGAAACAAGGACTAAGCATATGCCTGCAGAATGAACGCCAATCATGGCCAGTTGCAGGCAAGCATGGTCGTCCAGGTCTTGTGCGAACAAACGAGACTGCAAGTGGAATCACGGTGAGAACTGCATCTTCCATGCGCATGCCTCTGCACGATAGCAATGCTTTTTTCGATGCCCCTCGCCATGAAGCAGTCATGACAAGCGAGTCAGAATCAAAACCTCGGTATCAAAAGCTGTACCCAGCTGTACGCGAAGTCATCCCCATGTAGTCTCTTGTTACTGAGGTTTTGATCACTAATATTCTCTTTGAGGAAGTGTTGACAATGTAAGGATCACCAAAGCCAGGATTGCATGAACACCAGGCCAGGCAATGCTGTTCAGGTACAAATGGCACGCTCCACAGAGACCTGCATATAAAGCACCGTAGATATGTCCCGCATAGTCAGTAGCTGCATACTCCGACTGCGGGCTCAGGGACAATATGGCAGGGCAGAGACGCAGTAAGCAGTGAAGCGAGAACCAAAAACTGACCGCCTGCGCTACTGTAAGCGATACTGGTGCCCGAAATGCTCCGAAAATGAGCATACAAAGTATTAAGGTGGCCGGCAGACAATGTTTTTTTAGTCTGCTGCTTCGGGGGGAAATGAACTCTGGAAGCAGTCTAGCTGCAACCAGGAAGGAATTTGCAACATTGGAATCTAGCATAAAGCATTGAGAAAGGGAACTATCGCCAGCTACCAGAACGGCCAACACGGCTGCCCCATAAACGCAGGAGCTGGCTCCACGGCTGTTAGACAGATCTGCAACGGCATCAACGTGATGCCTCGGCATAGCTGCGTAATCTGGGCTGTTCCGCAAGCTTCGCCGCAGCGTCAGCCAGCTGAAGAGCGCACCGAAAGCCCCAGAGACCAGATATGCCGCAAGAAACAGAAGTCCACCTAACTTCTGCTCTGCTGGCACTCCGGCAAGGAGCAAGAGGAACATCTCCCGCAAAAGATGTGAGTGAGTGCCTGAGCCAATCTGGGTAATGCTACTTGCACCTCTACATGCACTTTTGCAAGCTCTGCACGGGCTCTCTGCAGGCTCTGAGGCACTGGCCATGAAGGAAGCTGCAGGAGAATAGAACCCAAATCCTGCCACGGAGCAACGCATCTCCGGTGAAGTCGAAAAGCTCGCTGCACTGCTTCCGACATCGCAGGCAGTGCTCCAGCGCGTGGACCTCAGCTCCCAAGCGCTATTAGTTAGAACAGGACAACCGGAGGGACCTAAGCAAGGCACAAAGAGAGTACAGCTTGCCAGCACCACAGAGGCCCATGGCATGATCATACTTTGCTCTATCGCAACAGCTTCCATTGACATCCTTGACATTTGGCTAAGCATGCACTACTATTGCCTGTGTTTGCGGTTGCCGGGAATGGCGCCAGGTGTACATCATTTTGGGCCACAGTGATTTTCCTGATTGCTACATGAATGCGCCGTCTCATTTGGCTACCGGCACATGAAACAATTCCGATCGCGTGGGCATAGTTCATTGGCACTTGACACATTGGTGGCCCAAAGCTGCTGCACACATGCAGAGACGTGCAAAGTCCGTGTAGCTTTGAACCAAAGGCGTCAGCGTGCTACTTAGCAAGGAGCCGTCCCTCATCCGTGTTCAACAAACCACTTCTGATCCGAAGCTGCCGATTCAATGCAATACTCAATACTGAACCACATAGCGCAAGCGGACCAGCTTCGTTCGCCGTAGAGATTTTGCTTTACAAACATCAGCAGTAAACGCACGCTTCGAGCTTGTAGACGTCAAGCCTCAGAGAAAGAGCTCAAAGTTGGCGTCATGGTACAGCCAGCACGATACCCCATCACTCCCTGTCCAGCAAGGTGCATTTGGCCATCCTCCGGAGACGGGAAGTTCTTGCGGCGCACAGAGCAAGCAGCCCCTACGGCTGCCAAGACCGCGTCCAGCGCATCAGCACCAGGGTCCATCACCAGACGACGAGGTGCTGTCCTCTTGGAATCTTCATATGCATGCGGAGAGCATGGGCAAGAAACAAAGTCAATGGTGAAAAGTGTTCCAAGCGTACCTTGACCTAACCACTTGTTGCTTTTATATTCAACTTACTCTAGACTGACATGGCTTCAGCCCGTCCATCCTTTCACTGAAATCCACACGCAGCATCGTGTTGCTGCTGCCTCCCACTGGCACACCATTCCTGAAAAGGTCATGAATCGGATCGGAACTGTGAATGCTCCAGGCAAATATCAACATCACCCGGCTAGACCGAGCATCTTGATAGAATTCATGATAAATCTTCGCCGGCTTCGATGCTTCATCTCCCGTCCCTTGTATGGCTTGGAATATAAGTCGAGGCGTTTCAGAAGAGAAGCTGGACAACTTTCCATGATCAGATGCCGATGCGTGCCCCTTGGCATGCATGGCACAAGACAGAATCCTTTTCGCGTTAGTGGGCCGTAAAGATGAGCTATGGCCCACCAAGTTTGCTTGTACATCCTCAAGTTTTGCGGCGCCAACGGAGTCTTGTGCTTGACATCTGTCACCCTTTTTGGCTCGACGCAACTGTTGGCTTTGCGCTTCTTAGGTACAGACGTGGCCTTCCGGAGAGCAGCAGGGGAAGGATACCTTTGAGAAAACTTGGCTGCCCATTTCACCCAATCCCTCTCAGAAATGAACTGCCTCGCAATGCTCGGCGGGCTGTCTACACCCACAATGACTTCCTCCTCCGTCTGCGCGACCTTCAACAACTCTTCCTGTATTGCTGCGGTGGCTAGATCGGGACTCAAGCCACCACCTGGAAGATCAGCTGCCGATCGGATAGATGTCACCATTAACTTCCACGATCCATCTTCTTTGCGTAAATTGCAACGTGCCACCAACAACCTGATGGACGCAACCTAGATGTGCAAACATAATTCGAACGAGCATCGTACATGTTATTTGCATTTCAAGAGCTTCCTGCCAGCATCAGCAGCCCCACTGAAATCAACGCCGTAGACAACAGCTGCTTGCGAATGCCTCAGGTCTTGCCAACAACGCGATCCAATGAAAATTATAAGAATCTTACATGAACATGCATGCAACGTGCCTGTTCCTCATGGCATATTGATTTCACACCCTAGGTCAAACTCAGGATGCATGGCGTCCGGCGGGAAAATACCCATCTTGATGCTGTTGCTTGCAGCAGCAAACCCAACTGATGGTAATGATACGTTCAAGTGCAAACCAAAAAATAACCATGCACATGTGCTACATGGAGCCTGCACAAACTGCAGATGACAAAATTGAACAATCAATCACTTCATAGGCTAATAGACCCACGAGGATGTTCCAATTTATTGCCCGAAAGCCTCAATTGGTCTTGCCAAGCACAGCCAAAACCTTGCCTGATACTGATACGTGCGTTGCACTATGGAAACGACCTACAGGATCGATGGCTCGAGAAAAATTGTCAAACCCGAGTACAGCGCATGCAGAATGCAACATGGGGCCAAACATAATGAAATGTGCACGGTGCGATTCAAAAGCTAAACAACAAATGCATCAACTTAACGTCGAGGTGGTTAATGGCTGGCCTCTTTCTCGTCAACAATACAATTGCACATTTGGAGTTGTTGGAAAGACCGGCCAAACATCAAGCGAACCACGCACTGTTTACGCCTCAAATATCAAACACTCGAGTGAAACCATGTCCTCACCAGTGCAAACAGCACGATGAATCATGACACCATGAACTCCCACGACGAACACTGAACTGTTTTGCAAACCAATGGATTTGATTGGCGTCACAAAAAAATCAAGGAAGTGAAAATGTGTGAATCTCGGAACAACGTCTGAACTTTGAAAGCTTGAAAAACAATCCCAGCTATGGTCTCTATCGCATTTTAACGCATAGGCGCGGGGATGGGGTTATTATTATACTTATTGCGCGACGTACGTATGGTACACAGGGAGGGTATGCAGGCACTTGCGGTACGTACGCATGGGAGGGTACCTACTATAGTAAGCGAACCTAGTATAGTACCCAAAAAAATGCAAACAGTCCATCGGTGGCTGCGCCTGGGGCAGGCGTACATTACAAATGGACTCAAAGTTAAGATCACAATCGGTGAATGTTCACATGCAATTTGCAATAGGGCGTTTGCCAAGTCAACTTGTTGTTTTCCTGGCACAGATCATGGCCAATGCTTGGTTTTGATCCGCCGGAGGTGGATCTCCCCGGCAGATCATGTTCCTCACCAATCTTTCCATGACCAAACCTGAGCACGGATGTTCACAGGTGGGGACGGCTCACTATCTTGCAGCCACACGGTGTGCATGGCCTCGGTACGAGATGTACCGGGGTGCGTACCAGGATATGTACCAAGGGCATGTACCAGATGTACCGTTACACATACCAGAGAAAACCTACATGCCACAAACTTTGGCACACATCAGGGTAGATCTGGTACGTGCTCTTGGTAGCTGTCCCTGGTACATATTCCTGGTATGGAGTTGGCACCGTCACCGCCACATGTCCCAGTCGTCCGCCCCAAAACGTCGCACCAACCGATATGACCCCGAAAATGACGACAGCATTACTCTCCAGGGTTCATAAATCTGAATGGAAGCATGCCGGTCGGGCCGTAGGCCATATTGCGTCAGATCCCTTCTAAGTTAGGAGTTTCCCTTTGTATTGGAAAGACAGGGGTTCACATATTCAAGTGTTTCGAATCCATCTTGAAGCAATAAATATTCCACCGCTCTTTACTTTGTCCTTTGGGAACATACCGGGCTTTCACATCAATGCACTGATTCAATCATATCTGAATAATCCATCAGGAAAAGTAACGGAACATTGAAACAAATTTTTACAACAATCACATACGTGCAAATATGATAAATACAAATTGGTTGATGCAAGCATTTGGAGCGCAACGCTGTTTTGACTTGTGGACTTCCAACTCTCTGCTGCCCACATTGGCCTGGGTTCCGGGCTGAGGGCATTGCGGATTCTACAAACAAAGAGTGGGAAGGGCCTTTGGCCAGACAGCCGGTGCACTACATGCGTGCACAATTTGACATGAAAAGATTGTCTTGGATGGGCACATTCCCATGGGCACATTCCCAGACCAACTAAGGATTTGGACCACATCCGGGTGACGCGGCAATCCAACTTTTTTTCGCAAGCGCACTGTCGCACCGCTCAAGGTAAGATACAAGACATCTGGTAATCAGATGGAGCAGTCGTGTGAGACACTCTCATGTACCTTCAAACAAGTGCAATCAGCAATTCCAATGACAGTCAAAGCAAAAGCAAGGCAGTCCAACTCTCCTTCTTATGAATAGGAGACTCACGTACCTCGCACGGGGTGCCAGTTTTCAAAATCTCGGCAACGCTGTCCGAATGCTCGCGATAGCATGAGTCGATCAGCTGCAACTGGGTCTTCCAGCTAGTGAAGCCACACATGCTGAAAGCCTTACACTCCGAAGTTACCTCACGCAGGGCATCCTCGTCTGCATCCACGACACCAAAAGCAAAACCGCACGCCTCCAACGTTTCCTAGTTGGAAACGCGATCCAGCACAGGTTCCCCTTGCGGAACCGGATCCGGCGAGAATCAAAGCCAACTTCACATACTCCCGAAAGGTCCAGTATTCCAGGACATCAGGCAGCCCGGCTCGTAGAACGCTCGGACGAACAAAAAAAATTCCGACTCGAACAAGTGGTGGAGCGTCTGCACCTGCCCGCCCAAAGCCGCTTTTGCCACCGAGATGCTTCTGTCATCGGCGGAAATCACATAATTCTCCGTGTAAGCACGCGACCAGAACTGCGAAAAGAACTCGACAGCCGTCTAGTCCAAGCCGCGCTCCGCGCAGTTCTCAACATTCTCTGCCCCATAAAACATGGACGATCTGGCAAGAGCATGCGAAGCAGCTCCTCATCCGCGTGAGCCTCACGCGCCCACCTATATAGAAGGTCTTTTCGCTGCTTATAGCCCATGCAACTTTTTGCGCATATGTTCATGAAGATATGTTTCAATCTCCACAAGCGATATCACAGAATATTCCGGTCAACTATCAAAGGATTAAGCAATATACTCAATCACCGGAATACATCAAATTCCAATCAATTCAAAACAGGTCCAGGAGGATTTAACAAATCCAAGTAGTTCAAAACTGAATCACATCACAGAG